AGTTCGAAGTGATTGATGATTTTCCCTTCGATTTTCGAGGAACGTGTTTTGAGCTGATTGCTTATAATTTCAAACTCCTCAAGAGTGTAAGTGCGATCTAGATCCAAATGATCCAAGTCAAAATAGTCCGTCTTCCTTGCAATTCTACTCGAAGAAAATCTGCCGTTCTTAGACATGATTTTTTACAAAAATTAGAAGATAAAGATCAAATAATACTAATTTTTTTCCCTATTGTTGATTGATCAATCACCAATAGGATATCGAGCATTAAGCTACTGCTGTCAAGAATTAAGGGTGCAGACTTTTGCTTTTTTAGAGTTTTCTACGATATAAATTTATATGTAATTTTATACGTCACGTCGCAATCATATGGCTTTATGTCGATCATTAGGGTACCCTTTTATCTATCACACCACGTCACACAACCGCTATTTTCATTTTTACTAAGTATTCTGGTGACTTGGAAATTTTTTTGTTGGAAATCCTAATATCGTTTGACCACTTTTGACCTCTTATATGTTACAATTACAGATGTGCAATCATATGACTTAAAGCACCCCTAGTCAGGACAATAATAAAATAAAAAATTATATCTATCATTTATTTTTGAATAAATACGAATTGCTGTCTAAATACCATTCTACGATGCTATACACACTACCGTAAATTTTCCGCAAGGACCAATATGAAGGTGATTTTTTGGCGTATACATCATAATTTCCGTCGTCATTTAAATTCATATGTGACTTCAAATGTACAATATTATAAGTAACTCCCACTCCCTCTACCAAAGTATAATCGTCAGAATCATTATTGACAATAACTCTATTATTGGGAATTAAAGCACTATTCACCAAAACTGTGGAGAGCAGAGAAAACTTAAATAATAAAAACGAATCATGTTCATTAATAATTTGGTCTTTTTTTTTTGAAGTATTATTTTTAAATGATTTTTGAAACGTGTTTCAGATTTCATGCATATCTCGTGACTGTATTTCAATGTCTTTAAAGCCTCACCAGAAAAATCTAAGGCCATAAACGTTAATAATCGTCGTAAAATAGAATATTAAAAGTTTGTATATTATGGAAGTTAAAATAAATCATCATTTCTTGTAGGATATTAATTACTTTATTTCAATGCTCGGAATAATGTTATTATCACATTAATACAGAAATATTAGGTGGGAGGATGAAGCCACAACTCAAGTCAATAATAATCACCTTAAGTCCTTTTATACCATGGCGTAGTAATGAAGTATGTATTATCTTTATCTTATTTACTAAAAATATGAATATTAAACAAATTTTTATTTAATTAGGCAATAAAAGTAAGTGAAATTATTTAAACGTGTTCCAGTATCTTTAAATGCAATTCTATCTAACGCAATTGGTTCAGATTCTGACCACGAAAATACAACATCAAAATCCATATCCAAAATGAATGCTAACCACAGGCGCTTTTCAATTCAAAGTAACTAATTTATGATTCAATTAAAATATTATAATGATTATTTAAGTTTTATAGAAGATCTTGACGAACTCATTGAATTATTTTGACATCAAAATGAAAGTTTCGAACAACTCTTGTCATTTGATAATAATAATCAGGTAAAATCAATTTGAGTACTTATTTAATTATTTTGACTATACTTAAATTCTATACTTGTAGATAATAATGGATTTCGAGGAAATAGATACAGTCGAACCTTGATATAGCGAAATTTAGGGTCTCGACAACTTCGTTATAAGATTATAACGAATTTTTTAAAGAATTTAATTGGCTGGTTCGTTATAACGAGATAAATTTAACATATTTGATTGGTTAAATGTTAAAAATTCGCTATATCAAGAGTTCACTATTAGGGTTTGTTAATTAGCTTGAGATGAACCGTTTAGCCATAGTTTAAACTTAAACTGATACAAAATAGTTTAATTAACAATATCGTTCCAAGACTAAAAAGAGTAAAGGTTAAGTCATAGATGTTTCTTATGAAGCTAGTAGGCTTTTTTATGATTAGGAAAATGACACCAATTGCTAATTTCGTTGTTATAATATATAAATTCCAAATATACTTTAAACAGCATATCATTGTATTATAATTATAAATTACAAATAAATTTCACCATTTCAAATTTGACGGAAATTTAAATTTATGCATTAAAACGAATGAATGTATCAGTTATAAATTCCTTGCAAATCGACCAGTGAGTCTCCATTTTATTACATAATTCCATCAATTTTTTTGTGTTCTCAAAACTAACTGTTGAATTATGTACAAATCGATAGTAAAGTTAGCGAGAGTAACTGCAGGGGGAACAACTGGCACGTATCCAGCTGCAGCTGGAATTGTTGGAGGATCCCAGAAAACTTGATTGACTGGGATATTAATTTGGTATGCTGGGATATTAGGAGCAATACATCCTTGTTTTCCTGTCTGGTGAGTACCGAAATCCCACTAAAATATTTTGAGGTTATTAAGAAGTTTTGACCAAAAAAAATAACAATTATAAATTAGAATCTTACGATTTGATATTCGGGTACTTCCTGTTGATATAATAAAGCTGTCGTTGACCTGTGTTTTCGTCCATGGCCATCATAACTTTCCCTTTTATCATGGAATTTAATTCCAAGAACATATCAAACATGAACTATATTTAACCAATTTTGTCATTTTCGATCAATTGGCCAATATTCTGGCAATTAGCCACTTCACAGATTATTCGGGCATGCGGATTCCCCTAGATGAAAATATTAATATTAGAAAATCATAAATCAAATACAATAAATTAAAACTCGAAAAAAAAATGCAATGGGTTGTCAGACATAATTCAAGTGTGGTGTGACTGTAGTATCTGGAGCAATGAGTCCTTCATTTACGTTAGGATTAAAACAGACTAAAGGAAAAGAAGGATGTGTATATCAAATAATCAATTATATATAGGTCAAGAATCAAACAGAGTAGGAATTCTCTTACATCCATCACCAGTAACACATATTGGTGAATTAATGAAGACTCCCTCATTAGCAGCCTTGAAATAATCTTATAACAATAAAACTACATAGGAATGTTCGGGTTACTCATATCTATTACATATATGTCACCGTTACTTTTTCGTTGATATTTGTACCAAGAAGACTCTTTACACATAAAAAAGTTATTATACTCTTCTAAAGTCATCTTTGAGCCAATCTTACAAGGGATACTGTCATTCATACAAGTTAATACTGAACAGGCATTGAAAAAAATGTATCGTATAAACCTACTCACCTGCTTTTGCTCGGTGTTTCATCTTTTTTAAGAGTTTCCTTTACACCAGGAATGAAATGATACGACTTCGATTAGACATTTTGAAAAGGAAAGAAATGGTAGAAAATATTTGTATAATGATAAATGTGATCTGATTTTGAATCAATTGGATAGGAAAAAAAAAAGTATTCAACAAAAGTTAATCTCTTCTAAATTATAATTATAAATATGATCCGATTTCGCATGTGTTTTTGCTATTTAAGATGCTAATGTAATTCGTCAAAAATGTAGGAAAACAAATAAAGAGCAGTTATTGAACGGATAAAACTTTGGATTTTTATACATTATATGATGAAATAAAAAGTTTTTTAATTGGTTAATTTAATAATTATTAAACACAAACAATAATTAAATAACTAGATTTTTGATTTTATCTTTTAAGAAATAAAACAATTAATCCCTAATATGTCCCGATAGTAAATATTATTTCAAATATTAAGACGCGGCAATTTGCTAAAATCGAGATTATTGTTTAATATGAAATGAAACAATAAATACTATAAATATAAAAATTATAATTGTATAAATTGGGCGAGAAAAAAAAGTAAATAATTACTTTATTTACTGCGTCGAAATTATGACATTGTTGATTGATTTACTTTGTGAAAATAATTTGTTTAGTTGATTAGGTATGATGGTTCAATGTTGTATGTAGTTTTATTGGATGTAAATTTTTGGTTTTTTATATATTAGTTGTGTTTGTGTTTTGGTAATCTTTTATTATTTGTCATATGACTTATGGTTTGGATTGTGATCTAAGAAAATCAAGTTCTGAAAATTTTTAATAAAATTGAGATTTTAATTGCATTTTAATTTTTATTACATTTAGATTAAAATGTAATAAGATATTAATTT